CAATAAAATTTTTTTATTTGAATTTTATAGATCTATAAAATTTAAATAAAGTTATTTTTATTAAATTTAATCAGATATTTATAACTATTTTTACCAGTAGTGATGTTACTGCCTTTAATTTTTATCAAAATTTAGGGTTAAAATGCAGTTTTAGAAAAAACTAAAGGCTAAATATAAAGGTCCAAATTTCAGTTAAAGTTAGATTTTTTGGGGTTCTGAACATTTTTGCTTAGTACCCCTGACATGTGTTAGCTAGTAGGTTTTTGAAATACAGTACCCTGGATAACATCACCACAGAGGCAAATTAACAACAGTCTAATTATATAATTGTTAAAATATCTTTACTCAAAATTTTAAAATACTTTATATAGCTTTTATGTTTTGATTTTTTTTAAAAAAAAACTTGAGTAAAGTTGTTTCAACAACTGTCTAATTAAATTTAATGAAAATTTTTTATTTGAATTTTATGAATTTATAAAATTCAAATAAAAAAATTTTTATTAGATTTAATTAAGTAGTTAGTTAAATTTAATTTGATCTCCCGCCCAGCCCGGCCCGGCCCGGCCCGCAATTACAAAATTTAATTGTTAGGCCCGGGCTTCGGGACCCAATGCAGGCCTCTAGACCAAAGATTATACATATGATTAGCCAAGATTTAATAGAAAAGTTGACTATACATATAAATTAATGCCAGCCAAAATTAAGCTTGACTCCGCAGTAATTTGGTAACTTGCGGTAATTTACCAGTAACTTACTATCAGTAAGTTTACATTTACAACCCTGGCCGTAGTATAATTAACTTGTATTATTGCTTAATGCCGACCCTAAATTTCAGTCGATCTGCCGTTCCCACAAAAAATTGGTCTACCAAGAAAAAGCTACATTGTAGTTTGGTTAGGGTTAAATAACTTCATGTTTCTGTTTTTTTTGTAAAAAGTTGTTTCGCTTCGATTGTTTACGTTACACTTTATCTTGAAATTTGATTAGTCAAAAATCACAGAAGTGACCAATTTTTTGTGGGTGAGCTAGAGGCGGAACTTCTTACTACAGTCCTCTACAAGTTGAATGACAATTTTTATAAACTTAACCGGATTTTATAATGTTATTATTAGATACATTTATATATAAGCACTGAATCAATGTTTAAAATTATTTTACTATATAAAATGCAATTAAAACTAAATATCTAAGTACTAACTGATTTCATAACTTTACAGACTTGATCGTTTTAGAATTATGATCATTATAATCTTTCAAAAGTTTATGCTGTGCTTGCGAAATGTTTTGTTTAGAGATATTTAAACAAATCTTTTACATTTTATACAGAAGACAAAGAGTCTTCTATATTTCTCAAACTCGCAAGCAAGGGACGCATTCTGATTTCTACTGATTCTTCTATACCAGAATACTCAAGCGCCTATTTAAGATTAAAAATTATCACTAATGCTAATAAAATTATAAACATGTCGGCCTCGTCGTAAATCTTACCCTATTAATAAACTTAATCACGAAATCTAAATACATATGCGCAAAGTTTGCAGGACTTGTTACAGTATTGATTTTCGGTTTAGCAATATGTTCGCATAATCTTAATCCAACTTCAACTAATGCTGTTGCAAAATGTTCAACATTTTTAAGACTTTGTTGACATTCTTCAGAATCAATTGTAAACGTAATATCTTGCCCATATGTGTCTTGTACAATAAGTAATTGATGTAGGATGTAATTAATGTTATTGCAAATATGCATCATTCGAACTTCAACGCATCGAACTTTACTTTCCATTTTATCTATTTGAGATAATGACAAATTGACATAAAAAGTGGCGAGAATTAGACTTGATGAGATGAGTTCGTTGTTTGGGGACCCAATTAATTCGACGGTACAACTTGTAATCTTTATACAACTCATAATGTTTTCCATAATCTTGAGGTATTCGAGAAAACATATTAAAATACGCGTCTAAAACGTGTAATAAACAATAATCTCGGATTAATTCAAATATACCTTTGTAGTTCTTATGTCATCAGCGTTTGAGTGGTCATATTTATTCATTTCATTAATCATAATTGCGGAGCAATTAAAAGCCAAACCAAACAGCCACTGTCTCATCGCGTGAAACCAATTATCCTCAACGGGAAATCCCAGGGCCTTCCATGATAGCCCCGACTGTTGCAAAACTTCACCATATAAAGATTTCTTGAATTCCAAAACTTCTAGAACTCTTTGTAAGCTATACCCAATATCCTTGTTTTGAGGGTATTCAGAATTAACAGTTGCTTTCATGTCTTCAACGATTTCGACATATTGAACAATGTTCTCCACATTCTTTCCCAAAGTATGCCATTGAGGGAAAATTTGCTATAAAAAACACGTGATAAGAATACAAATTTATTATTATACCCTCATTTTTACGGACATTAGTTGAGCTGATCAACCAAACTATGTTGGAAAGCGTACAACTTTGCTTACAGAATGTTCTAAGGTTTTGACTTACTATGAATGGTTTACAATAGTCACATCTCAGCCATTCGGCATTACTCAAAAATCTGTCAATTAAGGATATAATACCATCAAAGGCTTGAGGAATTGAATTATGAAGAATTTTAAGTGTTGATTCCATATCACCAATTCGTTCCTGAAACTGGGATTGAAACTCTCGCAAGGACATATTTCTTTTTTGTGCTTGCAATTCAATCCAATTCGTCACCGTAACATTCCAATTACAATAATTATCATCAGGATTTGATAATACACGACGCAATGATTGTACCCTAGCAGGTTCGTGGATTAGCTTTGTATCATTATCAACAAATTCACCAGAATTATTATCAATCATCATATCCATATCAAAAGTATTGTTAAATGATGTGACGTATTTCTTAGCACGTTTGCTGTCAAAGAGTCGACTGGTAAAATTTTTGATATTACGTTGAGGAGATAAACTAAACGATGAACGTGTTGTTCCATAAGTACTCAAAGAAGCCTGTGTATTCGATACTCCATCATCATCGTCGTCATTTGTTTCGTCTTCTGAAAATGAAAGGCTTCTCGCAAGTCTTGAAGATAATGACTTCGAGATTTTTTGACACTTGTATTTACGTTGATTATCATCGTCGCGTTTTCGCTTAAGAGGTGATAAACTGCCGAAGGAATCTTCAAATTCCTCTAACATCATAGGCTCAGCTGTAAACCGAACAATATAACATTAATATTATCGAAATTTACAAAGTAACTAACTTAAAGGATCTGAGTTTTGGGTTTTGAAACTTTACATACATGCATACAATTTTTTCAATCTTCGATCGGCTTCAGAACTCTCAAGTTTTATCGGCATGCCATTATTGTCTAGCAAAATGTTCTCTGGTGTTCAAATTTAGAAAAGTGATAACGTAAATAATGAAGCAGCGAAATCGCAATAAACAATATAATAACAGGTATACAAGTATACCGAGCGCAGTTAGTAAAGTGTTTATAGCGTTTTCCCAAATTTCTCGTGAAGACGACCGAACTACATCAAGTTTCATGGCTGTAGATTGTTCGTTTGAATGCATAGCATTTCTAAAATGAAAAGTGGTAGGCGCTTCTTTAGTCATCCGCATCTTCTTCTTCTATAATGTCTTCGTTGTCGTCTTGAAAGTCAACTAAGACGACGCAGGTAATGAATAAACCAATGCTAACTGCAAAGATAAGTAAAAGAAATTGGGGCTGTAAAAGTTTTTTACTGGCTTTCAAGTAAAGCTTCGGATATGAAGGCGGGAGGGATGGAGAAGCCGAGACCGGCAGGATCATGACTATCGAACTTTTGTCGAAAGTCAAGATTAAACGTCATGGAACCTTCGTGACATTTTATAAAAATTGGTTTACATATATTTCACGTGATAACACATTCCCAAATGTATGATTTCCGACGCGTCTTTTTAGATCACATGTCCACATACAGATACTCCGATATCCGCACCTCCGACTATATAAGTGTAAGTTAGTGCAACAGAGATGTGAATGTGAGTGGGTTACGCTTGACGCCGTGGCCTACCACCCTTGAGCTCCGTTCAGAGCTCATTGTATAATCAATCATCTGTTAACTCTTGTTATCAAATGTTTAATTTTTTGTAGGAGGTAAAGGATAACATTCTTTTGATCGGGTCAATAATCACAACTATAATGATACGCATGTGATCATTAACGATAACAGATAATGAAATGACCGATCTGAGTGTCTACAGTGTCTACGGTATACTTACTAGTCAAATAAATTGATGCACCTAAATTTTATACAGTATGTAGATTTTAAATTTTAAGAGGTAGTTGACCTTTGAAGAGGTAAAAAAAAATAGTAAATCTTATAATAAACAAGGGATTTATTTTATATTGCTATAGCACTATGGTACTAGGTATTGAGATCAATTAAAATTTAAGATCGGGTTTGGGCCTTATAGCTTAGTGGTTAAGCTGTCAAACCCACAGACTAGATCAATGGTTTAAGTTGGGCTGAAGGCAAAATCTTTGGATTTTAATTTCTGTAATTTAAAAGGAGGCTATTATTAAATGCAGAGCCTTGTGGTAAGTTTAAGTGCAAGTACATAACTGAAAATGGAAATTTCCAGAAGCAGTTTCAGATATTACCAAATTTGAAAATTGATCTACTATTAGTAAAAGATTATTCTAAAACCAATTTATATAATATTTTGTTTTTTAAAAAAAAAAATCATTTAAATTTTTTTTTTTTAACTAGCCTTTTTGGAACTAAGGTCTTTATTTAAGTATTGTTGAGTAAGAAGTTTATAGCTTAATGCCTCACAAAAACCTCTATATTAGAAAGTATATCTAGCTATATATATATTTTTAATATCTAATTTAAGTAGTCTGTCTGTAACTTCTATATTATAGGTTTTATACTGTTTGTTATACCTGTAACCCAACTATGGGTATTATTTATTTAAACCCTCTGTAATGCAACTCTACCTGTGTCACTAAGATATTTCTGTTATATTTATTAATTAAGAAGTTTCAAATATTTAATCTACTTTCTATAGAACTACTTTATCCTTGAGACATTGTTGTTAAAGCTTTTTATACTTACAATCTGGTTAACCTAGACTTTCAATAATTTATGTCAAGTCTAAGGACAAGTACTTGTGAGCTGAGGTTGCTAATGTTATCTACTACTGTTCTTGTAAAATTCACCTAAACTCCAGTATCTACTATATAAATATTCTTTTATACTTTCATCATTCTAAACTTTTAATTTAAATAGCTTAAAAGATTGTAATCTGCTTCTGGTCTCTACAATTAGATCTTTTTCCTTTAGTTACTTTTTTGATAGCCTAGTTGATAAAGTGTTTGTTAAATATTTTGGTTCTGTTCAGTTTTTATTATTTTTAGATAATAATCTTTTATATAATACTATTAAAGATCTGTATTACCTCTTTACTTGGGTCTTACTAAGTAGATTTCTGTATTCCAATCTGTTGATTTTACTTGACAGCTTTACTCGAGTTTTATATAACTTATATATTACACTAATGTTCTACTACTTTCCAATACAAGCTAGTGTAACTTTGTTACAAATGCTAACTTAATAGAATATAGTTTTTCAAATACATTTTATAAATTCAAATTTTTGTTACTAGTGAGATTCAAACTTTTGTTTTGTAACTTGGGATGTAACAACTTATCAACTTCATTAAGTTATTATACTCTAAAAAATTATTTAATAATAAATCTTTGAATCAATTTTAATATAATTGTTTTATAACTGTGTAGTCTAAGAATTCATTATAATCTCAAGGACTTTAAAAGACAGTTATTTATTAAATAAGAAAACAAATGATAATTGATATAAATTTAATCTTAAGAATTTTATAAACTAATTATAGACTTAAATAGAAGTCTTAAAAATTTTCTAATTATACAAAAAAGAAGATGATCTGCAATATCTAATTTTAGAAGTTGTTTAAAGCAATATATGTTAGAATTACTTTTTTAATGCAGTTAGGATTATATTTTTGATGCAGTAATGGTTAGTAGTTTATATAAATATCAAGAAAATAATTTATGCAGTATATAAATCATTTTCAAGTTTATACCAAATGTATCTTGCCTTAATCAATATCCAAATTTGATAATATCTGAGACTGCATTATATATAATAGTAGTATTACAAAAGGTTTTATTACATAATATATAAATAAACTCTTAATCAGATAACTAAAACAATACCAATAACTTTATATTTAAAAGGTTAAGATAAAGATTTTGTTTAAAAAAATAATAATATAACAGAACTAAAGTACTGAAAGAAGTAGTAAACACAATATAAGATTTATAGTAAAAAATTGATTTAACCAGAATTGAAAGCACTTCTAGCTATATATAAGATCTAAAATAAAAATAAAAAGTATAATAATATATATTATCAATATTAATAATAGGTACTATACTTGTATATAATAAGTCAAAATCTCAAAATTTCTTTGCAATACTAAGCTAATAGTAGTTATAGTAGAAGACATTATTATCTTTAAAAGCATATTAAGTATATAAATACTTAGTATTTAAAATTAATGTTTTTAAAGTTTTAAAAATTTTTTAAAAACAGTAAAATAAAAACAATGTTTTTATAAGTATATAGAGCTTAGTGAAGTTGGTAAGTTGTCACACCTCCAAGCAGCAAAACAAAAGTTTGAATCTCACTAGTGACAAAAATTTGAATTTATAGAATCTATTTAGAAGACTATATTCTATTGGAATAGTATCTGTAATAGAATTACACTAGCTTGTATTAGGAGGCAATAGAATATTAATATAATATATAAGTTATACAAAATTTGAGTAAAGATGCTAAGTAAAATTAGTGGATTAGAATATGAAAGCCTATTTAGCAAAATCTAAGTAAAGAGATAGAACAGATCTTTGATGATACTTATATAAAAAATTATTATCTAGAAGTAATAGAAAAACTAAACAAAACTGAAATATTTGGCAAAGCATTTTAACAACCAGGCTGTTAAACAAATAATTAGAGAAAAAGACCTAACTATAGAAACCAGAAGCAAATTACAGCCCTTCCAGACTATTTGAATTAAAAATTTTAAACAACTAAAAGTACAGTTGATTGTTTGTATAGTAGGTGCTAAGATTTGAGTGAATTCTACAAGAGCAGAAAGTAGGTAACAGTAGTGGCTTTGATTTACAAATACTTGTTCTCAGACTTAATATAAATTACTGAAAAGTCTAAATTGTGAGTATAAAAAGCTCTAGTAGTAATGTCTTAAAGATAAAGTAGTTCTATAGAGAATAAATTAAAAATTTAGAACTTTTCAACTGATATATATAGCAAAAATAAAGCATATTATTTAAATTAAACACCAAAGTATATATATGATTAGATATATAGGGTGTCTAACAGGAGCGACCATCAAGGTTACACAAGCTGCCGATAACCTCCGGCCATCAGTCAGCCAATCAAAATTTCAAGGGGCGATCTAGGGGACG